ATCATTCAAGATTGTTCGAGAAGCGAAGCCTACCAAAGATTCCCATATATATGGACAGCCGAACAACTGCAGTCAGGCAGTCAAGCAGCGAGTGTCAGAGAGACAGTCATATACTGCTTGATATAAATCACTTTCAGGAATAGTTGTAATGAGTTTGATATAAATTAATGTTCCTCAAGTTGAAATGAATCAGTTCAAAAATAAATAGTGCCGTGTTCGCTTCTTCACCCGAATAACGTTACAATATAATTATCCTCCGAACAACAATGAAAAGTACAAATACGAAAATTCTTTCCTCCGATGATTACAAATTGCTACTTGGGAATTCAAATGTCAACTGTTATCTCAGAAATATTCGACCAGCCGGACATGATTGACCACCCATTTTCAACGTGCGTTGACGGCTGCTATCGCGCAACCCAATCACAGTCCCGCAACTATCTCAATGGACAAGTGAACTGCTATTGAATTATTGACATTCAATCACCCAACTGTGTTTTTAGTTACTTGAATCAGTTTTTGTAACACTTTTCACGTTTTTCTATTCAAATATTGAGTCTATGCATTGCTCGAAATTGTTGACTTCCAGAGCTCATTTCAAACGTACTGTAATGGCCGTCATTCAGCGAAACGTTGAATGTATGGTGACGTTAATTTTTATGCTGTTTCGTTATTGATCACATAATCTTTCAATCACAATCATGAAGCAAGGTTGCCCAGTCACCAATTATAATCAAGTTATCAGACATGTGTAGAGTCATGTTGTTGACTGAATCATAAAAGGAGAAACCAATGATATTATAGCTGATTCTTGACGTCCCCGAGCAACGGGCATTTCGGAATATTTCTCATATTTCATATCAAAATATCATGTGAATGATGAAGACGTAGCAACATGGTACTGAATGCTGAGAACTGATAAGACTATGCCCACAAGTCGTGCGCCGTGTAGTCACGGTCACCTGAGCGTTTACAAGATCGAATGTCTTCTAGTGTGAAATGATATAAATTTCATTTACACTGGAGCAAAAAGTCACGACGCATGAGGAAACATTTCGAGACGATTGATTTCTCAATTCTAATTAGGAATTTCAACTAAAGATAATTGAGACTTTATGGATTATTCGGTAGGTTTTATTTCAGAACTTGCCATTCGTATATCAACTTATAGCAACTGTGCTATGGTCTGCCCCTACTAGACGATGGAAGATAACCGTGCTATTATCAATGACTTTGGCACTTTGAAATTGACCAATAAATTCTCAGGAGCATATGAAATTGAAAGGCTTTAGAGTGATGATTTTATTTGGGAAATAAAGAAGTCTACTCTCCTACCATCTCACGAATTATCAACTGAGAGGATATCTATCAAAATAATTTGGGATTTTCTCCCCTTCACTTATTCCACATCGCGAAATCTTTGTACACGAATTAATGCTGACATAGTTTTTCGCGATATGTTTCGAAATACTTTGTTTCAATTTTCCCAATTTTCAACATTCACCGATATGTTTTTATATGCAAGCTGTGGACTGAGTATATTGGTGACTATCACAAAAAGAAAACATTTCTGAAATATGCAACACTGATTTTGTCGCACTCCAAATTGTTGCTCCTGTCAAAACATGAATAACTTCAAATAAATACAAATATCTCAGAGTCATATCCACACAATGTTCCTGAAATGAACAATGGTAGATTAAGGGAAGAAACCAACTATTTCCCTTGGTGATGCCACGCAGAACATTATGTTGCATCCTCCCGAAATCTATGCCTTGACTCGTATCAACGAATACTGATACGTGATAAGTGAATCTTTCCTGAATAACTATCGATTTCGATTGAGCCAGGTCACGCTAGATACCTGAAGATTGATTTCGAGCTCTTCGACTCTCAACAGTGCAGGGTAGCCTCCAGCCAACAGTCCTAAGACCGCCGACTAAGTTCTGCGTGGCATTAGCCAGAAAAGTAGTTAATTTTCTCCCGAAATCTACCATTGTTGTTCATTTTATTCACATTGTGTGGATATGACTTTGAGTTCTTGTATTTATTGAATATTTCATTCCACTTTGAGTATGTGGCTATTTCGAAGTTGCAATGACGCCAGTCGGGCAACCAGCCGCTTACGTATGAGAATTGCAGTCTTGCAGTGTTTTTTCTTTCGTTTCTACTCATATTGCGTTGCTTTCATATTGTCTATGAAGGACGCCTCTGGGGGAATATAATGCCGACTCGATTTTTGTTTGGCTGGGTTTCGCTTAGTCGGCGGTCTCAGGACTGCTGGCTGGATACTACCCTGCACTGATGAGCATCGTAAGGCTCCGAACCGGTCTGTAGGTGTCTCAAAATCGATAGGCATTCAGGAAAAATTCACTTGTATCAGTATTCGTTTATACGAGTCGATGCATAGATTTTGGGAGGATGTAATACAATGTTTTGCGTGATATTAGCCAGGAGAGTAGTTGTTTTCCTTTCGAAAGCTACCATTGTGGTTCATTCCATGAATATTGTGTGGATATGACTTTGAGCTTCTAGTATTTTTATAACATTTCATTCCACTTTGGGCATTGTGATCATTTCGTTGATCAATTTCTTCCTTCTGCTTCGACCAAATTGAATTCGGATAACTCTGTTCGCTAGACCAATCCTTTGGCTATAATATTGAACTTCTTCAAAACATTATGTTTTGTCCATAAAATCGCTACAGAGTGTGATTTCAGATTTCAGGATGATCACAAAAAAGAGAAATTTTTTTTTTCAACTTCTATACCATAGGCATGAAGATGATCCCATCACCCTGGGATATTCTCCAAATTGGCTTTTCATATCTTTTTTTCATTGGGTGATTTCGTAAAATCATATTCCGTTGCTGTAGTCATAAAATTTTTCCTCGTCAACCGATTCTTCAAATGTAAGGCTCATTATGAAGCTGGAACTTCAGATGGAGGGAAATATACAAGGTTTGAGATATAGAGTCGGAAATTCCTGCGATTATCCGATTTCATAAACGGCACATCTTCACAATATGTTTTGATATACAGTGTGACTCAAATATACCAGGCGTATGAAAGTAACCACAAGGGTTAATACACATATTTTGGTGAAAGAGCCCGAATCCAATGGAGGAGAGCTCTTCTACAAAATATAACGATACACGAATGCATTCTATATGAAATAACACATTCGAATGCAGAATAATCTGGTTATCTCAATGCATGAATGTCATTCAATTAAATATCTCACGAATGGAGAAATTCTCTATAGATTGAATTGATCAATCACCAAAACTTTTCATTCTTTTGTCCAAGCCTATCAGAAATTTATTCTTTATGACAGTGCAATCTTTGCTGTAACGTGCAACCACCTGTGTGATTTTTTGATTTATGTTTCGCCCTCATGGGAATATAGATCGGCAGTTTCAGCTCCTAAATAAGCCTGAGAGTTGAATAATCAGTTGACGAGAGGAACATTCATGAATGCAAAACCAAAATGTATTCTTTCCTTTCGAATCACTCTGTTCATGGATAAAATGGAAAGACAATTTGGAGAATCTTTCAATATAACTATGCCATCTCCATGCTTCTGTTGTCAATGTTAAAAGAAAAGTTTATCACGATTTGGGATCCGAACATTCCGAAATTTTGCAGAGTTTCAGGAAGTACCCTGTAGGAGAACCTCATGTTCTGAAATAGAACATCATCATAGCAGATGAACTGAGCTACCAACCACTGTCATCAGAATTGAAATAGTTCAAAGCAGAAAAGTTATCAATATTTTGATATTGACAGCATTTTGGGATTCGACGAAATAAGTGATGCATATTATAAAATGATGATTAGTATTTTCACCTACCTATCGTTATCCTAGATTTTTGATCGACATTGCATGTCAAATTTGTGAATTCGACATAGAAGAACTGCTTTTATGTATTTCCACCTAGTGATAACGTTCACTATAGTCAAATAGTTCTGAATATTGGTGAATGATAAATGTTGGGCGGTTGACAAAAATATTGATATTTGTGATATGGAGGATGTTTCCACATATTCGCAAGGTCATTTCAGGAGAACTTCACTGAAAAAACAATACAATTATTCAAAATATCATATAAGTGATTTCAAAGGGCTCCTTGGATATTAGTTGTGCGTTTTTCACTCATTTCAGGCAATGCCATGCATTTCTATTCGAATGGAAAAAGGTGAATTTTTCATGAAATCAAATGAGAAATATTTTCACAGTGAAACTCACTCTATCAAATTGTACTTCATGGTTTCAAACTGCCATATATGTAACTTTTCATATAATTCTTTCGAATGGTTTCCAAAGAACAGGTACGTCTGAACAGCATGTTCTTGAACTTTATTTTCAGTTATTCACTCGGAAACGGTGAGTTCAACATTATATCATGAATGTTCTTCCAACCTTTACCGTAGCAAATCCTGTTGTTTGGAATGAAGTGATTATTTGCATATGGAGGTTCGCAAGCATCATGAGTAATAATAATATAAAGTAATTCCCCTGAGCGGAAAATTCCTAATATGATTGCATGAAAATTGACTCCTATTCAATTCAATTATATTGCACGGCACTGTCCAAAAGGATATTCGTCTTCAAGGAACTGATCAGATTATTGATTATTTATTCGGGTTGAGAGTTGGTATAGACTGCAGGGAAGGCGAACCATTGGCACGCGTGCCATTGATGGCACGCGACACAATATTTTGGGCACGCCACCGAAACTGAAACAGATTGAAAATACGAAGATGTAACGCCAAACTCTATTGACAGTGACGCTACTAACTCTCCTCTCAACATGTGTCCAGACAAATTTTAACCATACCATTGCACTGTGCCATTGCAATGTTTTTAAGTGCACCCCTGCAGGTAGTCTGTCTTATACCCTTACACGAGCAGGTCCATAAACATTTCTGCTTCGTGAACTTAAGTCGTTTCCCCGTTTGTTTAAGTAGATTTCATTTTATTTTGTATTATATATTACCATGGCTAGTTCAGCAAAAAAACAAAAAGTGCAAGCTAGTATGTGCAACAGAGAATTTCAAACTTGGTGGACTGAGAAATATGGCATGATCAGTAAAGGCGACAAAGCAGTGTGTGTTTTATGTTCTGGAACAGTGGTATTTAGAACATCGTCTGTAAAACGGCATTTTGAAACAACTCACAGATCCGTAAGTCAAAAAAGCGAACCAGAGCAAAAGGAATTAATTGAAAGTGCAATGAAAGAAAGAAATAAACAGTCGACGTCTATGATAAAATATGTTGGCAAAAATTGTCATACGAGCGCGGCAAGTTACTTGGCTGCAAATATTATTGCTCGCCATAGTAAACCATTTCAAGAAGGAGAGTTTTTGAAAGAAGCTTGGTTAGCATGCGCGCCCTCACTATTCGATGATTTCGATAATAAAGAGAAGATAATTCAGCGCATCAAAGATACTCCTCTTTCTAGAAACACAATGAAAGAAAGAATCTTAAAACTGGCCAGAAATGTAACAGATCAACAAAAAGTTGACATCAACTCAGCTCCATTTATATCGTTATGTCTTGACGAGAGTACTGACGTCACTAAATCTGCACGATTAGCTGTTTTTGCTAGATATTGCATAGGAAACGTCATTAAAGAAGAATTCATTGCGATAACATCGTTGCTCACAACTACAAAGGGCAAAGATATTTGTATGGCTCTTAAAAATTCGCTTACTGAGAAAGAAATTGATTTGAATAAGATTGTTTCAGTAACAACTGATGGTGCTCCAAGTATGGTGGGCAACAAAAATGGTTTCATAAGTTTATTTCAAACAGACGTAGGACATTCGATTCTTGAATTCCACTGCATTATTCACCAACAAGCCTTGTGTGCTAAGAGTGGTTTGACATATTTTGATAATGTAATGGCGGTAGTCACAAAAATTGTCAACCTCATATCGGCAAATGCTTTGAATAAGCGAAAGTTTGATGCTTTGTTGGATGAAGTCAATTCGGTGTACAATGGCTTACTAATGTATAACAATGTTCGCTGGTTGAGCCGCGGGAACGTACTTCAAAGATTTGTTGACTGCTTGGAAGAAGTCAGACTGTTTCTGCAAAATGAGGAAAGAATTGATCAATACCCTCAGTTGTTGGATGTTATGTGGCTTTCAAAATTGATGTTTTTTACAGACATATGCCAACATTTCAATGAATTGAATGTGAAGCTTCAAGGCACGAATAAAACCATTATCGTCATGACAGATCTTATTCGCGCATTTGACGCTAAACTGCATGTTTTCAGAAACGACATTATTACAAAAAACTACAAGTATTTTCCAAACTTGAAAAAGAATATCAACGATTTAGATGTACATGAGAAACCAGACGAAAAAAAAGTTACTGGAGAATTTATTTCTGTGATTGATTCTGCAATCAAAGAATTTTCAGCGAGATTTTCTCAGTTCAAAGAATTATCGGAAACATTTAAGTTCATTATGTACCCTGATGTGACTCCATTTGATAAACTGAACTTGTCCCAATTCGATTGGTTGGAAATTGAAGAATTTGAAATGCAGCTGATTGATTTCCAGTCTAGTTCAATATGGATTCAAAGATTTATTGAAACACGGAAAGAGTTGGAATTGATTGAAATCCCTAACAACACTAGTACATCCTAGGGACTTCCCAGGGACGTCCCTAATTTCAAATAAGGACATCCCAGGGATATCTTTTCTGGGACAAAGTACATACTAGGGACGTCCCAGGGACATCCGCTTTCAGACAAAAAGGACATCCAAGGGATGTCCCTCCTGGTACGTCCCTGGGATGTACCGAGTACAAAGAAGGGATATCCCTAGGACGTCCCAAGGATATCCCAGGGACATCCCTTCGACAAAAGAAAAAAAATGTAGGTCCAGTTGGGATTGAACCCGGGACCTTCAGCTTATCAGGCACGCACCTTACTCCATTGGCCAATATGCCTTCTGAAGATTCATGTATTGAACAGATTTATAAACAGGACAACTACAGAAACCTGGATAAATAAAACTGTTAGGATTCGGGTATAACTATTATCATTCTTGGGTGTTTGAAAATGAGGGGCATTATGCATTCACGATCTCTGTTTGCGAAAAATGGTCATTTCTTGAGAAGTTTTGAGACTATATTCTTCATTTTCATCACAATTATTTTCCGGAAGAAATACGAAATACGAAAAAATTCGACTCAATATTTTGATGATATTGAATGACTCTCTGATGTGGAGAATGGATATCAGATATTCCAGGGACACGAATGGGATAACCTAGGGATGTACCGGGTGGGATGTCCACTGGACAACTACTGGCGGGACATCCCCTGGATGTCCCAATCATTTCCTTGTACCGCGGGACAAAAAAGGGACGCACCTAGGACATCCCTGTGTAGTTAGGGATAGAGAGATTGACAACTAAAATGAGTACAGATGCCAATAACAAAATTTTGGAAACATGGAATTCGGTTCCAAACACATTCTACTGTTTGAAGAAGCTGGCTCGTGCTATTTTGACCATATTTTCATTTACCTATGCCTGCGAGTCATTATTTTCAGAGATGAACAACATCAAAGATTCACTTAGAAATCGTTTGACAGATGACTCCAGTTCAGCATGCATTCTGCTAAAAGCAACATCTTACAATCCTAATATAACTTATTTGTCATCTAATCTGCAACAACAGAAGTCACACTAAATGTAACATTCATTATTTTACATTGCAAAATGTATTTTTTTGTGACAGTAATTAAAGAGATTTGAGTTGAGAGAATTTATTATTATTATTTTTCGATAATCACTAAGTTAAAATTAATTGAAGGCACGTCTATGGCCTCATTAACATTTCTTCAGGAAAAATGGCACGTTGATACTCAAAGGTTCGCCACCCCTGGTATAGAGTGAGACACGCTCTATGTATGTTTTTTGAAAGCTCAGAGTAATTATGTTTTTTATATACAAGATATAACTGGAAATTCAGAATTTCGAGTGATATCTCAATAATGAGAGCTTATTTGAAATATCTTACTATGCCACTGATGGGTTCTACGTGAGTGGAAATAATAATAATAATAATAATAATAATAAGGAAAGGAAAGTAGGTACATTTCATATCTATTCTCTCACTAGTCAAATTATCTCTGAACGGAATCAGAATAAATACATTTCATATCATTAAATCATCATTACCCACACATATTTGTTCATACAGATTTGATGACATCATCAAATCATATTATAGCGATAGATAATCCTCATAAATATTCACATCTTGAGATGATGAACGAGAGAATGAAATATATTAATTTTTGAAGCAGATGAGAATGTTTTCTTATTCTGACAACTTTTACTCACACTATTTTTGGATGTATGATGAATTGATATTCAACATACAGAACGTGGAAAGGAAGTCTGAATTCAGAAATACTCATCACGAATCTGCGATTCGAGGTCTATGAAAATAACAAGTTTCCATCGTTCAAGTATGAACCCTTTGATTGGGTGACATTATTATGAACATAAAAAAATGGATTTTTATATGAAGGAATACATTGAGAATTCGCATTTTCTGTGCGATGAAAATATCAATTCTTCCTTGGTTCATTCAACAGAAAATAACTACTGTCCTGGCTATTCGACACGTCGAGCATTGAATTGAATATCTGGTGAACATCTGAATAAAGAGCATGGAAAATAAAATTCGTCTGAAATCGAAATGAGATATCCCAAATCGGATATGATAATATGATGTATTATGATATTGAGATATGACTCACCAATATGTTCAGTATTGAAATGAAAATTAAAATTCATAGGAGAAGTATACTTGTGGAAGATACAATTACCATATCAATGATATAAATGATTTTTTTTGAAGTTCCAAGCTGATCCAGATGAGAGTTCATACAAGTTTACTCATCATAGGCTCAATAAAATATCTAGCCGAAATCAAATTATCAGAGGTGGAATATAAATGGGAAAATATGTCCTTCACTATAACGGCTTGTTATCGTTTTCTTCCTACTGACCTGATTTTGTACTTAGAAGAAATAGAACGATTTTTGTATGATCAGAAATAAGCTGATGTGAATATGTTCATAGGAGATATAAACATGAATAATTTGATTACTTAGCGCAGATAACACGGAACTCTCCGCAATATCTCTGAGTAGTTATCTTCAGGATCAAAATGCGAAATCCTCCTGCGAGGTGTCAAAGATCTCTATAGGCTCTCACCATGGGAAATACTCTCTAGAGTCGTCCAAAAGAAATCGCGGAGATCTCGCCTCAGATTTGATATATTCCTCATTATTGCTAATCCTTGAGGTTATCTATAACAGGAAATGAATAGGAATCTCTTTCTGCGAGCACCCAAGGATATCCTGGACGTAACAAGATCGAGCATTTCCCATTGCGAGCTCCTAAAGTGATCACAAACATAACCTGAATAATAAATGAATATTCCTACAAAGATATTGAGTTGTTTTTCTCAATAGCCTTTATAATTCAAATACTGGGTGTCCCAAGTCGTCGTTCAAAGACAATATCTCGCCTATTTCTCAAAATATCAAAAGCATCAAAAAATTGCATTAAATGGCATTAAATAACCTTCCTAATGGCTTATGAAGAATGTAATATATTTGGCTGCCCCCGGATGGTAGATACTGATCAGTTTTTATTTCCTAGTAGCATATTGTCTCTGAAAATTGCGTATCAATCTATTTGGAATACAACGATATAGCACATACTTGGTGTTTTATTCTTGAAAACAACAAAAACATGAACATTTTATGACTTTTTTATGTTACTCAAATGACAAATTGCTTTTACCCATGTGTTCAAGGAGTTCACAAATAAGAAGTATGGATTGAATTTCCGTTTCAAAATATCAATGACAAATATTCCATTTTGAACTGCAGAACATCAATCATTGCAGACGGTACCTACCTAGTGTAATAATTAATCTAATCTTATTGTGGGACATTTTCACGAACATGGGAGGAGGCAATTTTCAATCGATATAACGTAAATGAGGTTGAAAAATTTTATTGCTTATGTTGTTATCGATGAACAAAATACAAAGTACCGATATGCTATCGTTCATTCCCGAAATAGGATGATAGGCAATTGACAATATACAGGGAGTCCATTCAATAAAAATTGAGGAGTTGCTACCAGGTGGCTGTCCAATCTAATATACTTTTTTTTGAGTCATAAAGAATGTTCTCTGATGTCATTTGAAGCATTTTTACTATTTTTTGTTCATCTTGTCGAGTAAGCAAGTTTTTGCCGGTACCTTTACGATAACTTGGGACACCCAGTATTAACATGAAATGGGAGTCATCAGTCTATGATAATAATAATTGTATACTAGATACTAGATTTTCTTACTGTCTCAGAGAATGTGTTCAACAGGTCATATTATTATCTCTTCGCCATTATGGAAGACTATTTCAAATTTTGCAGTACATTAATGATAATAAATTATCTGCTCTGACGAAAAAGACAAAAATGTTCTAATTCAGGTGGGATCAAGATTCAAATATCTACCTCAAATTCGTGGGCAGATATCGGACGGAAGAATACCCGGCCAACTCCTCGGAGATTTTTTCAAGTGATAAAGTTTACTTGATCAATGTCTTGCCAAAGAATAATATATAATTGAAGCTCATTACGTTGATCTAACTCTAAGTTTGGTATCTCAATCTTTTTCGCTAAAAGAAATATCCAGTAAATTTAACTTCACCCCAAACAATATAGCTGGCGCTAGTTAGACTTCGCCGACAGCAGACTGCTGATAACCAATGACTTCCCAAAAATTGAACACCTCACCATATTAGTGGCGATCATGTGGCGATTGATGCAAATATCGCTCTTGAAGGCCTCGTTATAAGGCGATGTGCACGGATTCTTGAACAATTCATAGGTGCGAGCACTTGAAGAGCTCGCTATCAGTAATTGATGCGAATCTCCAAAAGTTCTCTTCACAAGGCGGTGTGTGCGAGAATCTCAAACAGCTCGTAAAAGCGAGCACTTAGAGACCTCGCCAGAAGCAATTGATTCGAATCTCCCAATGTCCTCGTCATGAAGCAATGTATACGAATTTCTCAAACAGCTCATGATTGCGAGCACTTTCAGTTCTCGCCAGTGGCGATTGAAGCGTATATCTCAAAGTGCGCGCCTGAGGGTATTGTATGAGAATTTCTGCGTGCGATATCTTCAAGACCTCGCTGAGCTCAGCCTAGATTGCGGACATTTGGCCTAGATATAGCACTCTTGGCGATCCCTCAAAGAAGTTACAAAAGGCATCACAGTTTCCTAGAAGGATTCCTTCAAGATATCTTCAGTACCGCTTTGTGCTGGCTGAGATGATAGTAACATCTAGTTTGATCGATCATATCTATATGAGAGCATTGGGAAAACATCTCCTTGACAAACTTTTACTGAATTCATTCATCTTCAGAAAGGATTCATTCGATCATCATACAATTATACTTTGTATTGAGACACTGACAGTTCCATCTGACTCGAACAAAAACAACACCGCCCTATCTACCAACACTCTTATGAATCAAAATGAACTTGAGAAATTTCCTGACAACGAGAAATGGATTGATATTCCGATTTCAAATGATTCAAACAATGACTACAACTTGTTTATCGATGAAATCAGTGAATTTGATCACTTATCCGCTCAAACTATAAACACAAAAACTGAACCAGAACATTAAATTGATTCAAGATTCTCAACAAAATTATGGTGAAATTTGGCAAAATATCACTAGAATGACGAACATCAAATCAAAATGCAAGGACAAATATAATATCACAAAAGAGGTGGACCAACAATCCTGATGATGAAGAAGAATCGAATTACTTCAACAATTTTTCCACTAATATAGGTCAACAGATGGCGAATAAAATTGATAAAGACGACACTCTCTCGGAAACAGAAATTGATATAACTAACTCACTATTATTGAACGCAATGTCAACGAATGAAACGATTGAAACTATGTCTACCCTGAAAGATGATTGTTTATCAGGTCCTGATGGTATAGCTGTTCAATCATAAAAAATATCACTTCCATCTTTCATGCCCTTTGTGTCATATTATTGATATTGTTACGAATGTGACTTATTACCTTTGCTAGTTGGGATTTGCTGAGGGTTTATACTCAATAAAAAAAAACTTAAGTTCGAACAACAAAAGGAAATAAGGATTTATTAATGATAAGTTACTATTTTGACATTCCATGAAGAGGCATTAGGTTGAAGATTTAATGAATAATGAAAATGGTACTTACAATGATCTAACACAAAAACTTGGGGCTGTCCCAATTGGGACATCCCCGTTGCCACAAGCAACCGACCGCTATTCGGACCGAAAGTCAAGTCCCTCTTGGTATGTGGATTCTGATCGATCACCTCAAATGTTTATTTTATTGAAAAATGTTTTGTCACGAATGAGGACAGTTGAGTTGCTGAGAAATATAACAAACTCGATAAATCAGAACAGTGAAATAATAATGATAGTAATAGTAATATTTGAGAATAATTTGGAAAATATCCTTTCGTGACATTACTCCCCCCTCCAAAAATCACTCGCTCCACTGATTGGAAATTTTGAAAAAATACCATCCACATACCAAGAGACGAAATTACAATACATGACTAAAAACAGGTTTACAAACAGTACAAATGTTGAGGTCTCCTTCTCGGCTTACATACTCAGATGATCAGCTTCTTCATCCATAATACCATGATACCAACATGATTTTGTCTATACCTAATCCATATTTGGGTCCATTATATATTCCAAATTTGGCTACAACCGGCTTCAGCAATGATTTTCGACAGAGGTTTATTATGGTTTGGGTATTTCGATTTCCAATCCTCCCACCGGCCATTGCCTTCACCTGTCCTCCAAATCATCAACATAATTTGCTTCTCCACTTCAAAATTATGGTTTGGGTGCTCCGATTTCCAATCCATCCATTTTCCCCGAATCATCAACATCAATGCGGGTTCACTTGTTCCTTGAACTTCAACTCCATGGTTAGACTGTAACGTTATATTTTCGTATCCTTATTAAATAAATTTGAATTCCCGAAATAAAGTATTCATACCTATTATCATCGCATCTCGTCGTGTTATATCATAAGTTCGCCCTAAATCGTGGGTTTCTTTATGTAAAGGCAACAGTGCAACAGTGGTCACCCGTGACAGTGGAGATCGTTATTCCAGTAAAATAACCAAACACTCACTCATTATGAATATCCAGTTTTCTTCAGGATGGATAGGTATATCTCACCTTTTATTTTGTCTACTCAATCTCAATGTTTGTTAGGCTGTCCTCGGGCAATTTGATCAGCTATTCGGTATTGTTTTGTTTTTGGTATTGTTTTGATAACGCACTTGTTGCTTTCGCAGTCATACGGTGGCAGGCTAGTAGCTAATCAGCTGATGTCCGTCATATTGCAAGTAATCATTAAGGAGAACTATGGGTGTTCCACTAATTTGTCTGTAGCGACCTTGGAATCAGGAGGTGTTCTTCATCTATATTTATTCACAGACACCGCACTTCAGAGATACACTGGGTAGGAGCAGACTCGGTCGAAGAATTTCGGAAAAGTTCGGGTATTCACCTGTCATTTGGAGTTCACATTCTGTGCCTATATGTTTTTCAAAATAGGAATTTGAATACTCGAGACGAGGAAAGAGATGGACTATTCATCTCGGATGACCTCAAGAGAAATTTGGAATTTTGTGGAAAGGGAGAAGGGTGCTTGACGTTGGAGAAAAGAAAAGATGTCGGTCAGCCATTGATAAGTGCCTTTGTACATAAATGAATTTGACATTCATTCAATAATTTGGATATGTTGGCCTTATTTTAATGTGCAATATAGCTGTTGTTACCGTTTTTCACGTGTGTGATAAGAGAAATCAGCTAAATTGATCTTCTGTGGAAGGATTTGTTGGGCTACCGGCATGTGGTTCTGAGACTGAACCTCAAACTTTACTGCCTACTATATACCCTCGAACATCGCATGAGGTACAATAAAGTACTACTCCCTGGTGAGTTAAATCATTATTTTATGGCGTCCTTATTTTTTTTAGGGTTCATTTTCCTACTGGTGTTTATGGTGCATATTACGTCATCACCAATCGTTACATAATAAATTAGTGCTGCCGTAACGATTTGAATTACCGGCCTAGTGATATGCATGACATAGGGAGAACTGCATGATACACTATATTTCCCTGGGACTATTGCTTAAACTATTGCTTGGACTGCTTATTACTTGCATTGCTAGCCAACTATATTGCTACTTGCTTACATAACTATTTGGAGTGGATGGTCCGATTGGATGAGCTGGGATGCTGCTGCCGTCATAATTACCACCTACAGATAAGCTGCATGCCTTTCTATTATATTTTTTTTTGCTAAGGGGTTATAATCAATCTTTATATGTTGATATCGTCATCATGTCCTTTACATGATATATATATATACATATATATCTCGTTTTTTTGAGGGTTTATTCATATTCACCTTAAATTCAGTCATTATTAATTACTGAAAACTGTGAACTCTGCGTGTACACACAGGGGGGTATATTTTTATCATTATTTCTGCCCACATACATATATTATTTTTCAAGTACAATATTTACTCAGGAAACATTTTCACATACATATATTATTTTTCAAGTACAATATTTACTCAGGAAACATTTTCACCCCCACATTGATGACGAAGTAACATAATAAGTGAATAAACAGATACGATAGTAACTTGGGAAAGAGATTGTGTGTTCTCATTGATAAACTCCTACCATCATTTTTTTTTGTTTGACGATACGGTTCAAAAAGCGGGACCCATCAAGATCAGGGAAGTTTTCCAACTTAAACTTGCCATATTATGTAAGTTGGTGGCGCCCTCAAGAATTACTTTGTTTTTATAGAACTCACCCTATACCCGACTGAGTACTGAGCTACCCCTTTGCTCGTGCTTCAGGGCACCCGTTTTTGTTCTTTCGAGATAAGCACGTGGCAAGACATTTTTATATTGATATATAGATAGGGATGTATGATGTATACAAGCATTGATACATCTGAGCCAACAGCCTGGTGGACTATATCATGTTTCTGCTACTTTGGTTACATAATTATTCATTCTACCTGCCTTCAGTATCAACACGATGTATAAGTAGTCCTAAAATGAACTATATAATCAAACATTGTAATTTGAATAGATTGAAAACTGCAATGCAAAAAGTACCTAATAAAACCAACGATAAATCATCCATTATTCCATCGATTGCAATCGTGTATATATGAGTATAACGATGTGAAAAATCCCATTCTGATTTTCAGATAGGTATACATTTCCATTTAATGACAAAAAAATTCCTACTGAGCTTTACCCAATTCGATATGCCATTTTAAGGAATACTCAACTTAGAATAAATTGAGACGGTCAAATTATTGATGAAAAGCTATACCATTGATTTCAATTCAGGATTTTTGAAATAACAATATAGCAAATCAAGTTCATAAAACCACTCTGAAGTTTTTTGGAGCTCCTCAAAAACTTCAAGTTTCTATATATGAGTAATATATGTAACCCATAAAAAATTACGATCAAATCCACCCTGGATGATTAGTAATACCTATATTAGAACTAATATGGTATAATAGGTATAACACAATATATTCAGCTTCATCACACTACTTCACTTTTTCAAAATTATATCAACTCGCAATTACCTGTATACATGTACCTACATGATAACATCCAACACATTCCTCAATTCCTCAGATTCGCCCTGAAGTAAGCGACTGAATTGATTTCACCCATACTTCTCTTTAGAAATACCACACCCCTCAATTAATCTTCAGGTTTCATAATCAATGATAAATATCACAACATTTTTCAAACGTACTCGACATCATCCAGATGCTTGACAGGGAACGAATTCAAGTTGTCATCATTCATATCAATATATTCCTTTAACTCGCCGTCTATATGGCCATATTTTCACAATGTCTCAATATTCAACGGCAGCTCATTAGCTCAGCCGGGCAACAATAATGGAACTTCCTGAAACATAATATTCAATTATTATTTTCTATAGCTATATCCCTGATCCACAGAAGATACGTGAAAATCCTGTAGATTTTCACTATTTTCCCCTATATTGCCTTGCACTTCAAACTATACCATACTATCAGGTAATCCATGATCCTTCTCATCATTATATCAAATTTCTCACATATAAAATTTATTCACATGGTACATTAAAAGGTACCTACTGTATGTTATGTACCAGAATTCTCTAAAATATAACATCATTATACCCAACCCGCAGATAGCAATAATGAGCATTATTTGTTATCTCAAAATAAATTTCAGTCTCCGGAACTACTCATCAAATGAATCACTATCAACTTTTTATATACTAAGCATTCAAATAAAAACGAAAAATTTATTGAACTTGACCTACTTCAAAAATCATCATTGCTACCTATATGTAATGCACTCTTCAAGTTTCTTTGCAAATTCTCCGTCAGCAGAAATCCCAACTGCAGCTACTCGTATTCTTTTTTCAAACAATGAATTGATGATTATTTCTTAAAATATTTCACAAGTCAGAATGTGATACTTTCATACTCTATAATTCTAAGAAAAACGTCTTATCACCCCCAGAAACCAAATTTACTCTTGTATGAGTACAGACGGCTTTAGCATGCCGAACTGTAACGCACTACCAAAAAAGGCCTTACATGGAAAAATTCCTATGTAGAAGCAGTTCAGTTTTAGCATGCTGAACCGTGAGCTAATTTGGCCAGTGCCTCACACAAGAATCCAAATATTTCCCCTTTCAGAATACATTGAATTCGAATTTTGAAAAACAACCCCTGAATTCAAAATTTTCTCCCGTATGAGTACAGACGGTTTTAGCATGCCGATCTGTAACGCACTACCAGAAAAGGCCTTACATGGGGAAACTCCCATGCAGAAGCATTTCGGTTTTGGCATGCCGAAATGTGAGCTTTCACTGGCCAGTGCCTCATACGAGAATCCCAATTTCACAAAATATATATACATCATTTATAAAAAAAAACCAAGACAAAGGATAAAAACAAATGTTGAGGCTGGTTATGAAGAAGCAACCTCGGAAACGAAACACGGCACCTCCACCATATGTCACGAATGTGACTTATTACCTTTGCTAGTTGGGATTTGCTGAGGGTTGATACTCAATAAAAAAGGACTCGAGTTTGAACAACAAAAGGAAATAAGGATTTATTAATGATAAGTTACAATTTTGACATTCCTTGAAGAGGCATTAGGTTGAAGATTTAATGAATAATAAAAATGGTACTTACAATGATCTAACACAAAAACTTGGGGATGTCCCAATTGGTACATCCCTGTTGCCACAAGCAACCGTCCGCTATTCGGACCGAAAGTCAAGTCCCTCTTGGTATGTGGATTCTGATCGATCACCTCAAATGTTTATTTTATTGAAAAATGATTTGTCACGAATGAGGACAGTTGAGTTGCTGAGAAATATAACAAACTCGATAAATTAGAACAGTGAAATAATAATAATAGTAATAGTGATATTTGAGAATAATTTGGAAAATATCCTTTCGTGACAATATTATGTTCCACTACTAGACATTTTTCTGTTACTTTCAAAGGTTTTATCACCAACCCAATTTCTGATGATGGTGACAAAATACTTGCAACTGAGGACCAATAACCAACATCAATAATTTTGCCAACATTCTCGAAAAGTGCGTGAAACATAGACGCGTCGATCTCTTGGGAAAAAACAATATCATTGGAGAATTACAGTTTGGGATTGAATAACACATTCCACAGCAGATGATATCTTCCAATTGGTCCACAGTATATGGATTAAGTTCAATAATCATGAAGAGTGCTTAACAATTTTCCTTGATTTGGTCGAAGCCTTCGATACTATTGACCATCGAATTCTTATCAAGCGTTCAGAATGTTTAGGAGTTAGGAGAACCAGTTTCTTGGTATTCGAATATTAGGAATCTGATAGGAGGCAGACATTGAAAATCAATAATGTTTATAGTGACTCGCTACCTATCATCATGGAGTGCCACAGGGCACAGTACCCGGCCCAATTGCTTTTTTGATTTTTATCAATAATTTTTATAAATTTCGAAATATTGATGCTAGTATAATATCTTATGCAGATGATACTGCTATCAAAGAGCCAAGAAGGCGCTCAAATATGTTTATTCCTGGCTGAATATGAGTCTTTTCAGCTTGAATGTCGATGGAACTGAATTCATTGCTTTCATCCCTACAAAAAAAGATCAACCTTTGAAGAACACAATGACTATTCACACACATATTTGCCAACACGCAATACAGTGTGCATGTCCTGAGATAAAAAGAGTTGATAACATAAAATATTGAGGTCTATATGTAGATCAGCACTTGCGTTGGGAAGGACATATAGATTGTACTGCCAAAAGACTGAAGAATCCGATATATAAATTCTATCATATCAGGAATCTCGGAAATCAAAAAATACTGTTGATGATCTATAACTCACTTGCTGAATCAGTTTCAAGATATTGCATCTTCATATGGGACGGTCTCAATAAAACCATATTACATATCAATGAGGTGAAGTAAAATACGATATCAAAAATCATATTAATGAAAAATGAGAGATACTCCACTGAAGCACTTTACAAGGAACCTGGCCTATTGGGTGTAGGTAAACTGTATACCTATCACTGCCTGATTCGAATGCAAAATAAGTCTATCTCAAAAGAAAACCACCATTATAAC